GATTTGATTATGAGAGCAACCTGTCTGCTCTTAAGATGTCAGAATGTTACCATTTTTTATTTACAGTAGTCAGATTCCTTGTTAATGTAAAAGCAGTTCTGTTTCCTAGAAGTTTTGAATCTACTATGGATCTAGGTCTGATCCCTCATTCTTGAGCTTCACTCTCAGTCTCCCCTGGATAGAACCATATTATCAAAGAGTAGTCTGTTAGCCACGTCCATTCCCAAGTTGGTCAGAATTTGTATAAAGGACACCTGCTGCTGCTTGTGAGGGTGTGCAGCTGTCAGAGAAGGGAAGAGACTACCTTAACTAGGCTGATTGACACCCATGTAATATTTACCATCAGACAGGCAGTGTTTTTACTCTCAATTCTTTAATTTTAAAATAATTTAAGATAGGAAATAGTACTATAAGGGATTGATACCGAAATAAAGATGGGAAGATCCTGAAAGTGAATTGATTAGGGGGAGGAGAAACCTGACTTGGCATTTTCCTTTTTAGGCCAGGAGATTTTTACCGCCATGCAAATGTGAAAGGCTGTATTCTGTCTCTCTTAATGCTTCATATCCTCTTGCAAATGAGACTGCCTTGAGCACAACTGCAATTGTTAAGGTTTAGTCTATACTGATGCTTTACACCAGGGTACAAAATCTTGTGTGTCTTCACAAGGTTTGTTGATGCTTGTTGCTGTCCTCACTGCCAAAAGAAAAGGTTGGTGACCTTTGGACTTTTTCCACTTAAAGTAGGGTGATACTACTTTGTTGAGTTTATGGGGAAAAAAACTATAAAGGTGGCAGGGGAAGAGTTTGCTGATAATGGGATTTTTTAGGGAAGTGAAGGCGTGCCTGTAGGAGCTAACGGGAAACGTGGTCGCTTTTCACTCCTGCCACTGAGATGACTTAGGAGGTCTTGTCCATATACTCCCAAAGAAGGGTTTAACTGTGTATTTGGCATGCTGTGTCTGACATCTGAGTTTTCAGGCCCATGTAATCTAGTCAGGCTGACCAGTAGAAGATTTTAGGACTGAAGGATTAAGGGAGTTTATAGACAAATTCTTTAAATTTTGTGTATTAAGTGATAGGTGGGGAACAAATCTAAATATTGGTTACTGAGCATGGGTTAGGGATACGTGATCCAAAGCAGTCGCACATCAGACAGGAAGTAGAGCCAACTCTTAGCTCTGGGTCTTTTCAGTTAAAAACAAATCAGGAGAGGGGAAATATCCGTTTTTCAAGTGATGATACAGAGAACTACTGGACAGGAGATGTCCAACCAGCAAATCATTGGCAAAGTTGGAAGTTTCCTAGGCATTTGCACGCCTCATAGCAACACATAAGCTACCTGCTAGCTCCAGGCATTTCAGGGAGTTCAGTGTGCAGTTGACAAAGACATTTACTAGGATTCTCAGTAACCATTTGGTCTTCCAGTGGTTCTGGTGCAGGGGGCGCCACTCTGATGACCCTTGACCCCATGTTTACCTAGTTCAGCCTTCAGAAGATACTCAAAGTGCAGAAGTGGCTTCTGAACGGCTGTAAAGCCGTTGGCCATCCAGTGACAGAAGATATTGATACATTAATAAGCAAAGTCCAAGAGGTTGCAAGTTTGACTTGCCTCTGTGCCAGGATGGGTTAGGTGTGGTAGAGGCAGGACTTATGTATGAGTTCTCTAGTTCCCTCCCACTCCTGTGTCCCTAACCCTCTTCAGTGTTGCTGCTGCCTATGTTAAGGGGTATATGTGGAATCCTTATCTGCCCAAAAGGAGATTAGAGATTGGATAAAATGTTCAAAGTACATATTGATTTCAAATATCTGTCAAGGCCCTAGTAGGAGTAATTTCTCTTAGGCAAAGAAATTTAAAAAGCACCAAAGTACTGTTATGTACGTATTGCTTACTTGGAATCTTTATTCTCTACATTCTAGGTTCGGAACCTCACTTACATGGTGACCCGCAGGGAGAAGATTAAACGGTCCGTGTGCAAAGTCCAGGAACAGATATTCAATCTTTACACTAAGCTCTTGGAGCACGAAAGAGTTTCAGGTATGCATTAAGCCCTGGTAGGTGAAAGTATAGGGCAGGGGTTTATAAGTTTTAACACTGTTGAGGAAGAAATAATAATTTCTTAATTTTCTTATAGAAGAATTTAAGAAGCATACATGTTCATATTTAAAGGAGGTCTTTAATTTGAGGCATCATGGTTAAGGGAAAAAGCTATGAATTTGCCCTCTATAAATATGGGTGGAATCCTATGTTCTCTGCTTACTGATCAATGCACGTCTTTGAGTCTCCCCAGTTTCTTCATGTGCAAAATGGGGATCTCTCAAGCTACCTCTTGGAATTGACTGAAATGAAACAGTGATTTATATGTTACATAGTACTTGGCAAACATATAATGGGGATACCTAACAGGTTTATGTTCAGCCTTGGGCTCTATCTGTAACATGGTAAATATTGTAAATATATCTTAAGACTGTACTTAAGACACAGTCCATTTTTATGTAATGTTCACAGTAGATTTTTTTGGTGTAAATGGATTGTTGAATATTTCTGAGATTGAGCACCAAGATGTATTGTCTTCTATTTTATATTGCCCTGGGCTAGGCAAACATAAAAAGAAAACTAGGGTATATACTTTCTCTGCTCTAGAGAATACATCAGTTACTTGGAGATCAAGGACAAAGACCAAGTTGGGCAGGTTGTTTAACCTCTGTGTTGATCTTAAAGTTTATTCTAGAATCAAAACCTCTTAAGGGTGTTTTAGCACTGCATTCTGTGATCATAAGCCCCCACAAGTAGGTAGTGTAAGGATTTCAGGGAAGGAGAGCTGTTGAGTGTGGATCAGGCAGCATTAGGGGCCCAGGGAACAGGTAGCTCTTCAACTGGTTCATTGGAAGACAGTGAGCCTCTCTCCTGCCTTGGACTACCCTTTAAAGTTATAGCAGTACCATTCTTGCTGCTTGCGTTGTGCAGTCATAGTTGATACACTCTTGTTTTTGTGCATTTGTGGCTTTTTGTCACTGTATCCAGATTATTACAGCATATAGAGACAAGAAGTAAGTTGTTATAACCTGTTGTGTTAAGTCCAAATTCTGGTTTATCTAACCAATTATGTGCAACTAGAGGGAGCTGGGTCAGCGGAACAAATAAAATGTTTAGGGAGGTTTAAATGATGTTCTTGAAGTGTTACATAGTTTGAATGCAGTAACTTATTGATATCCTAGCTATTTTCTTCCCAAGATTAAGTATTTTCTAGATGAATCAAGTGTTTATCATTAGCTGCAACTTGGAGTTTGTTAAGATTTTAAAAATAAATTTTCTAAGTAGGGTGTCATGTGTAAAAGTAGTTTGATTCAGAGTCTCTAAAGTGAACTCTCTTTTCATGATTCCTACTTGAAGACAAATAAATGAGATCTATTTAATGCCCTTGGAAGACTATCTGGTCCAGATCACAGAGCCTATAGCCAGCAAATGCTAAGCTGGGATCACTAATGCAAGTTGTGTCTGTGGAGTTGTGCCATTGGAGGGCTTTCTGCAACTCTTAAGTCATTATATAATGAGTGATTACCTGTAAAAATAAGCCATAAAGAGCATTTACATCTGATTTCATTCAAGTTATTTCTCATGGATATTGCAGGCAGGTTTTTGCATTTCATGGCTGAGGTTTTTACCGGGTGAGCGAATGATACTCAATAAGTTTGGGAGTTGTTTTATGGTAACATAGTCGTAACGTACATGTGCATTCAGAAGTCTTACTCTCTTACTACTGTTTCAGAAAAGGAAAACAAATCCTACTTTCATTCTGAGATGAGAACCATAGGTATGATCAGTTGAAAACCTTCATCTTCCTGGAGGATGCTGCTGAGTAAAGCTCTCGAAACCCTTTAGGGTGCTTTTTTTTTTTCTTTTTCCAGACCAAGGCTTCAGTTGTGTTCTTATTCATGCCTAAAGGCTGTCTCCTGCCTGCAGTAGAGCAGATGGTCGTGATTTATGTGTCATTCAGGGTCCATGGTTTAAACTGTGTGATTCTGAGAGTGTGTAGGGTCATTTGGCTAAGTGAGATTGTCCTCAGTGGAAACAGTGGATATGGGGGGAGGGTCATGAGTTGGAGGCTCTTTAGAGACATGGGTTACAGTCAAGGAGATAGAAATCAGAGTTCAGAAAATGTTAGCCTCTTCTTACCATTCTCTTTTCCCATGGCAGGTGATGGAGTAAAAGAAATATATTCAGTGTGATGTGAATGTTGATTCGAATGATTGATTCTTGAGAAAGCAGGCATTTCCAAACCAGCAGGTTGTAAAATACCTCCTCCTGTGGTCATGACAGCTCTGTGTTCTGAGTCGCTAGCTATGTTTCATTTGCTTGCAGTGTTTGTGTCTGGTGAGCACTAGGTTCTCATGGCCTCCTGTCTCATACTCTGGGGGCTGAACCTTGTTTTCTTGGTGGTTCATATCTTATGGGAGACAGAAAACATGAGACTTGCTCTTTCAAGATGATCTTGAGGCTGCTGCAGAAGCATGGTCTTTATGATGATCTCCACTGTGCTGTGAATTCGCCCACTGGGGTAACAGCTCATTAGTGCGTTGTGAGATGAATTCAGTGGGGTCATGACAAGCATTAAAAACAAAGTATAATAGAAAATGTCAGAGTGCGTTATCAAATGATGAGGATTAATATTATTTCACGAAGTGTGAACTTTTACTAGGTAATGCTGTGGAATTTAGTCTTACTGAGATTTGCATAAAAAAATTTAAAAACATCAATTTAACTTACTTCAAGTTGAATGACAGTTCAGTTGAATCCCACAAATGTATTTTGCACATAATAATAGTATTTTTTGGAACACTTATATCAGTAATTATTTTAAACATTTCCTTTATTCATTTCACATGTTTACATGTATTTATCCTCACAATAACCCTGATGAGGGTATAGACACTTGAGAAACTAAGAAGCCCCCGTCCTTGCTTTTTGGGTACTCTCAGTCTCATGTGGGAGGCAGAAGACTGACCAGTGGAGGAGTGTGGTGCAGTGGCTGTTCTGTAACCAGGCAGGGGCAGAGGCAGCCATCAGGCACCTGATGGGTTCTGCATGGGGTCCCCTTTGAAAATCAGATCGGTTATTTTGTTTGGAGGAACATGTATTATTTGAAGAGGAGCAGTTTTATGAAAGATTATGTGAGCTTCAGCTGTTTTAGAAAATGGGGCATATTGAATCTGCAGATGAAATGCAGATTCTCAAGGCAGGTCATATCTTTACTATAAAAACCAAATTTGTACAAACTTGGTAGTGTAAATATTATATTGTTGGGCGGGGAGTTCACATAAATTGGGCCACACTAAGGGTCTAGAAGTTTATTCTTTTGGATTTGCTTCTGCTGTAATTTTTGTTTACTTGTGGTTCTATGTTCCTAGGTGTGCCTTCTTCTTCCTGCTCCTCCTCCTCACTGGAAAACATGCTTTTATTTAACAGTCCTTCTGTGGGTCCTGATGCTCCCAAGATAGAGGACCTGAAGTGGCATTCTGCATTCTTCAGAAAACAAATGGGTCCTTCCTTGGTTCATTCGCTGAAAAAGCCCCATAAGCGAGATCCTTTGCAGAACAGCACTGGAAGTGAAGGCAAAACCCTGCTGAAGCAGCCAGACCTGTGTGGTAGAAGGGAGGGAATGGTGGTCCCAGAAAACTTTCTGGGTTTGGAAAAGACCTTTGCAGAAGCACGTCTCATATCAGCACAACAGAAAAATGGTGTGGTGATGCCAGACCACGGGAAAAGAAGAGACAATCGTTTTCATTGTGATCTCATTAAAGGAGACTTAAAGGACAAATCTTTTAAACAGAGTCACAAGCCTCTCAGGTCCACAGATGTGTCCCAGAGGCATCTCGACAACACAAGAGCTGCCACCTCCTCTGGAGTGGGGCAGTCAGCACCTGGCACAAGGAAGGAGATTGTGCCCAAGTGCAATGGCTCCCTAATCAAAGTAAACTATAATCAGACCACAGTCAAAGTGCCTACAACACCTGCCAGCCCAGTGAAAAACTGGGGAGGATTCCGGATTCCAAAGAAGGGGGAACGGCAGCAGCAGGGAGAGGCCCACGAAGGGGCCTGCCACCAGCACTCAGACTACCCATATTTGGGCCTAGGCCGAGTTCCAGCCAAGGAAAGGGCAAAAAGCAAATTAAAATCTGACAATGAGAATGACGGGTATGTCCCCGATGTGGAAATGAGTGACTCAGAGAGTGAGGCATCAGAAAAGAAATGTATACACACCAGCAGCACTATCAGCAGGAGGACAGACATTATCAGGAGAAGCATCTTGGCTTCTTGATGCAACAGAGATGATGCGGAAGCCCTTTGGGCTCGTCATTGGGTGTGCTAGAGGAGAGCTCTGATGGGGGGAGAAGCAGAAACCCATTAATCCTGAGCTACACAAACATTTACTTGCAATTCAGATTAAATTTTTTTTTCCAGAGTCATTTTTAAATCATTTTTGAGAGAAGTTTGTGTTATTTGCAACTTGTTGAGGAAACAGAAGAGTAGATTGTAACCGTAAGACATTGCTAAGACTAGAACCCAAACTAAACACTAAAATAAGCATGAAATAAATTTTAAAGAGGGCAAGGCTTTAAATAAGCCTCCTGAATTTTTACAGCCCTCTGCATTCTTCCCAAAGCACAAACTCGTGGTTACCTGAATGCAGGGAACCCGATATGGTTCTTAAGAAACCTTCATGGTACCATTCACAGCCCATAAAGCTTATTTTCTAGGACTGTGGTAGATCTTGAAATCATATTTATATTTGGCCATCAAGGCTATTTTTGTTACATTATAGTATACAGGCAGCAGCTCTGAAGCTTCAGTAACACTAGGGAATTTATGTGTAAATATGGCAGTCAGGGAAGAGAGTTTTAAAAAAGGTCATTATTGGAGGAGCTGAGGGGACAGGGTGGAGCTGCTGCAATGTGGAGATTTAGGGTAAATGTAGCAAGGTCCTGCTGCTTGAAGCCTGTGAGTAGGTTGTGGATATGAGACTGGTAGAGAATGAGACTGTTAGGAAAGTTGTATCTATGAATAAGGGCAGTTGAAGTACAATTTTTATCAGTCTACTTGACCTTCCTCTTCCCTAACCACTGGCTGTTGAGCCAGCTTGGGGTTTCCCTGGCCATTGCCAATACCTGGCCATCTGGCTTCCACTAGTATAATGGCTACTCAAGTTCAAGTGAAGAACTTCCAGACTCTGGTGACTCTTACTTCCCAGAGCCAACCACTAGTGCATATGTCGGGGAATCCGGGCTTCCAACATGAACGGATTCCTTAAGGAAAAGAAAAAAAAAAAAAAAAAAAAAAAAAAAAAAAAAAAAAAAAAAAAAAAAAAAAGAGAGAAAAACGAAATAGGTTATATTTTAAAAACAATAGAAAGGCAATAAGTTGCGATAAGCTCTTACTATTGACCAAGGTTATACAGGAAAGAGATTGAAGTGTACCCTTGAATAGGTTTTCTGTAGTCAGAGTTCTAAACTCTAATTCGTAACTTGGACTTTCTAATTGCAAATGGCAATAACTAGTAAGTTATCAGCAATAATAAATTTAGCATTAAAATTGAGTACAATGTTTTGTTTTTGCACTCACTGTAGTGCATTATGTATCAAGACAGTGGATAGTGTTTAGGTCCTGTTAATTTTTTTTGGAATTCAATGTGGTTGTGAATCAAACTTAAGGAAGGAAAGTTTAAATAGCAATGAGATTTAGAATTATGGGCATTCGGAACACGCCCGACTTCCCCAAAATTTCTCCTTAGTTTGTTAATACCAATATTCAGATTCCTGATTCATTTATACATCTGTTTCCATATGGCAGGGACATTATGATACTTAATGAATAATGCTTTGAGTTCTGTAGTTAACTTTCAAGTCTTCCAGATGATTGTCAACAACAAAAAAGGCTTATTGAATTCCATCTTGCTATGCAAGTTTTATCAGATGATCAAATAGTAGATCTGATGCATCCCCATTGTATGTATAACATTTTCAAACCAAGTCTTAACTTTTCAAATACATTTTAGTAGCTAATTCAGGGGAGGGGAAAGAATGACGCAGGTTTTTAGATTGACTATTTTTGAGCTATGGGGCTCATTTTGAAAGACTGCTGTCCAGATCAGCATGTTGCTACAGATAATAGAAGGTTCTTATGAATCCAAGTTGTATATTCACTTGTAGCATAATTTAAAAATTAGATTTTTTTTTTTTTTTTGCATATGAGCAAAAACCTTTTGCTGAATACAGGAGAAGGTTGGATTTTATCTACAGTTATCTTTTGACTACAGCAACAGCTCTGGGTGAGAGTAGAATTTATAGAGGGATAATTTGTCAAGCCATAGAAAGAAAAATCTAAATTAATCTAGTAAGTGTATGACCTCTCACCATTTTAAGAGGTATCAGATTCATTTGCACTATTAGGAATGCTAGTTTTGTGCAAAAATAATGCCTTACCTGTTTTTTCCCCACATTTAGGTTGAAAAGCTTTCAAATGTTCCAAGTTATGCTGAACCAAAAAACAAAAACAAAACAAAAAATATATAAAAAAACCCCACACAAAAGCAAAACACACAAAAATAAAAAGCCGACACATTTTATTCCTGCTTTGAAATGCAAATGGTATAGAGCACGGTTTCTCTGACAGTATAATGATAGCTTTGTGAGTTAGTTTCATGTCATGCTGGGAACTCTGTATGAGGTGGCCATAAGCAACAACCAGCCCAAACACCCACTTGCATTCTATTAGTACGGAACCATTTGCTTTTTTTTTTTTTTTTTTTTTTAGCTTTATTTTTTTTTGTGCATCCTGACCAAGAAATATCTTTGATTATGATTAATGTATTATGTCAAAATGTAGGCTAGTTAAACTTTTGTAAAGTTGCCTGGAATGTCATATGTTAGGTTATAAACACAAGATCTAAATGATGGGTTTTATGTGTTGTGTACAAATCTTAATTATTTTGAAATGGACAAACTTGTCATTACATTTGTAACCTTGTACAGAGGATTTTTCACTATGTGCCTAGCTTGGTGTCCATTCAGCTAAAATTGAAAAAAAAAAAGGTGCATGAAGAGTTAAAAATCAAATAAAAGTATATGTAGAGATGACTATTTTATATTACATGACCCAATCCTGTATTTATTTCTACCCCCTTTTTGAAAGTATTTATAAAACTAGTTGAGGACAGCTGTATTTTTTTGTTGAACTATTTAGTAGAATTGTGCCTTTTTGTCTGTATGTGAATAAATGCTGTACATTTTGCAATACATTTTAAATGTCTTTTGAAATCTGCTTTTGCTAAATATTTAAAGGTGTATATGACTTAGCAGTCCTGAATCAGTCAGTTGTTTACTGTCTCACAATTTAGATCAGGAATGAGAACTGTAGAGAACATACCAAGATCGTGCAGAGCACAGATTCACTGGGCTGCTTTCTGGCCCAGCTCTGCTGGTGAGACTGAAAAATAATGGTTTGAATTTAAGTCTTGCCCACCTGAACTTCATTCCAGAATACAGTTTTGGATCTGAAAACATTGAATTGTTGAAACAGCATAGACTTCAGGGTCAGAGAGAACTGGATTTAAAAGCTAAACTATAGTTACCACGCACATGATATTGGCCAAGTCACTTAACCGTTTTAAGCCTCAGTTTCCCAGAAAGAGGGTAACAGCTTAGTATCTTAGATACTGAAGTAGTTGTGATGTTTAAAGCAAGTCCACTGAGCACCTCAAAGAGGCATATGTTAGGCATTTAGAAAGTAGTAGGCTATTTTTACGATTGGGAACAAGACACTGATATTTGCAATATTATTTTAACTAATGAGCCTTCTGAGATGAAAAATATTATTCCTGAATGATGGGAAGCCTGTATTTATAATACAACCTTTAAATAATTTTAGAAATAATTTTTCAAAGAGCAGTTTCATTAAATGCTTTCTTTTGATCACAACTCTGGGACCGTAGGGCAAAAAAGAGAGATTATCTGCATTCTACACGTAAGACTTGGCAGAGATCACAGCACTAGCAGAACGGGGCCTGCACTCTCATTCTCATTCCTGGTTTTGAGTTCTCCCTGCCTGAAACAATCTTTTGTACAACCACTACATGCAGTAATTAGCATAAAGTGAAATGCACTTTTTTTCTTTATGTTGGGAACAGCAAAACTGGTGTGAATTATGCATTCTCATGTAGGTTACATTGATTAGGATCCACAACAGGGTAGCTATCTTAGTCTAATTTATAATTTTTGTAAGGATTTGGCCAGTTTTTTAAACAATTGTTCATACATTTTGCTAAAATCTTATTTCTCGTTTCTCCTTAGTGACTGTTTACTTACATACTGCTTGCTCTGAGTAAGACCCCAGAGACAAATAACTGATTCTTCCTACAAGGTCTTAAAGCTGAATAACCACAATAGTTCCTTAGGGAAATTAAGTCCCCAGGAGCCAAAACAAGGGCCTATCATTGGCAGTTGTTCAATCTGTGATGGGAAATGTAGCACCAGGGACTCATGTTCATGTTTTCACCCAAATCACTGAGAAAACAGTTTCTACCTTTGAAGCATTAGCCATCTGCAACAAACTTCACAATTAACTTCGAGGTTGAAATCTTCAATATGATTTCCCTTTAATGTTCAGAACTTCATTAGATGACGTTTTCTAGCCAAAGGTAGGCTTTGATTGCCTGGTCACTGATAAGGAGGGTAAATGCAAATCCAATGTTGTCTACTTCCTTGACTTCAACTGTTCCCTGTACTACTTACTCAGTTTGGTATCTGCAATTCAGCTTTTCTGGAGTGTGAATAGATTTGCCTATTGGGCATCCCCTCTTGGATGTATACAGGTACTTGAGATTTTGGAACTCAATCTTTTTCTAGATCCTGTTTTAGAGAATGTCCTCCTAGACCAAAACCTGGGAATCCTTTATGAATACTTCAACTCTCACAGCCAAACAGTGATGAAGGCCTGTGTATTATATTTAATATTGCCTTAATATTTTTTGCTTCTGATCCCACTACTGTTTGTTATATAATTCAGGCTTCTTCATTTTTTTGCCTGGATTACTGCAGCAGCCTCTTATCTGGTTTCTTTGACACAAATCTTGCTGAAATTAATCTCTCCAGCAACTGGCTGAAGGCTTGCCAACAGTATCTCCATAGTGATAACTTCAGAAATAAAAACTGATTTTGCCATTCCACATCGCCTTTTGGGGAACCTCCTGACTTTTGCAGATAATTACAAAGGTTTATCAAGTGGCAGGTACTGGGATGTATGTTAATTAGTTTAATCCTTATGTGAAGTAGGCACTATTATCTCCAATTTGCAGATGAGGAAACTGAGGCACAGAGAAATTAAGTAATTTGCTCAAAGGTCAGTAGGTAGTAGATCTGGGATTCGATCCCGTCTGGGATTGAGACACTTAGGCTGTACTGCCTCTGAAAATATGAAAATAGTTCATACACGGCTGGGTGTGGTGGCTCACACCGGTAATCCCAGCACTTTGGGAGGCCAAGGCAGGTGGATCACGAGGTCAGGAGTTTGAGACCAGCCTGATCAACATGGTGAAATCCAGTCTCTATTAAAAATAAAAAAATTAGCTGGGTGTGGTGGCGTGCGCCTGTAATTCCAGCGACTCAGGAGGCTGAGGCAGGAGAATCGCTTGAACCCTGGAGGCAGAGGCTGCAGTGAGCTGAGATTTCATCACTGCACTCTAGCCTGGGCAACAGAGCGAGACTCCATCTCGAAAAAAAAAAATTTACACACAAAGTAGTTCAAGCATTTCTGAGTATACTAAGGACTACACATATAAACTTCAGTTAAACGAATTCCTATAAGGCAAAGCCAATAAACTTGGTTAAAACATGTTAATGCACTGGTTAAAAGACTTTGAGTAAAACCTAATAGATAATGATCAGGATAGTCCGATTATGGTCAATTAGTTACTGCCTTTTTCTAGGGAGAATGGAATTAATTTAGTCACATGCACATTTATGTAACACACACACACACATATATATATATATATATATATATATACATTTATAGATCAAATATAAATAAGCAATGCTTATTTATGATTATGCATTAGTGTGATTATTTAATCACTACTCTGGGTGATAGTTCTAACTTTGGGATTATGACCAGTGTAAAACAATTTCTTTATGAAGCAAATCTTTTTCTCTGGTGTTTCCCTTCCCATGCAACAGTCTCAAAGAGAGCTTTTCTCCTTTTTCCCACCAATTTTTGGCTCTTTAAGTTTCATCCTTGGAGCTTCGCTTTTTTATATCAAATGCTTGTGATGGTATCTTTGCCTCAACTAGTCTCAAGTACTCCAAGTAAATACCTTTCAAAGGCTGTGCTTTAAAATATCACACTCTGAAAGGAAATTATACATTGTATCAATTACTTTACAATAACTGAACACAACTTAACTTTTTGGGTAGATTAAATGGTGAAATTGTCATCACTCATTGAAGAAATCTGGAAACTTTCAAAGGAGGTATTAAGCTAATTATTATAACTTACTTTGCTTAGATCTATTTTTTCTACTAAAGTTACTTTACTTAATTTAGGTTATGGCCAATTTCTTTCCTAGGTTTGGGAAAATCACCAAATCCCACTAGATATGAAGATACTTTTTCTAGCAAGGTTTTTAGATATATATACATAATTTGAAAACAAAAGAGCTTTCTGGGTAATGGCAGTCAGAAAGAGAATTCAAACAATAAAAGAGGCTCACAGATCATACTTGTTCTAAGGTTGATGAATGAAAAAGTGGAAGTAGAATTTTTCGAAACCTATTTTGCATCTTTATATTCCATCAAGAACGCTGATCCTTGAACTGAAAGGACAGAGTGGACCCTGGTAAGATGGTAAGGGTCACTTAAAGTCTAGAATGTGTGAAGCACTTATATGAGAGTATCTAGATGTTTACAGTGAGTTCAAGCCTCCTGACCCAGATGAATTACATCCCATGACACTTGGAGAACCTATAAAGGTTACTTTTGAATCGCTGTCAGCAAATGGGAGAGATGCCAAAATTATACATTCCTCAAACTCTAAAGATACAACGTTGTACAATAGTACAATTCTGGTGTTGACCAGATCTGGTCTGAAATCAAGCTGTGCCACCTGCCAGCTGTATGACTGAGCAAATGATTTAACTTTTACTGTCTTTGGAAAGGAAATGATAACACCTACCTAGAAGGACTGTTGGACTATGAGCTAATAAGTGCAAAATGGTAGCATGATGCATAGCACATGATACATGTTCAACAAACGGCATTATTAATATAGATAAGCATGTTTACCATAATCCATAGAAAGTCTCCCATGGATTGTCTTAGTTACTTGAAGAAATATGCTTATAACTTCTCTCATTCTCTTTTATCCCATAGAGTAGTTTAAAAGGAAATGCTAGTCTCACTTTTAATCTTCATAGATCTAAATATTAAAGATTTCCTTATACTTTATATTATGCTCTGATAGCTTTTTCATTCATTGAAAAAAGGACTGTGCTGCTATAGAATGAAAACATTGAATGAAAACTGCCATGATGCCTTATGAAAGGAATTAACGAGTTTTAACAAACATGAAAGGAACATGCTGTGATTACTAGGATGCTACATGGATTTACTAAGAAGGCTAATTTGCTTTTCTTTTTGGACAGGATTACTAGATTAGATCTGGGAAATATGACTAGTATGGCATAAATGAACTTTTACTTGGTAGAAGGCTGGATCTTTCTTGATGTTCTTATGACAGTGTACAAGTAGTAATATGGGCCAGAATAAAAACAGGTTGAATAGCCACATCTGACATGTGCTGATCAGGTACTCATTAAGGGAGCTGGTGGTTGGTATGCTCTGAGACTGTCTATATTTCTATCTGTCTGGTCCTCTTCTTCTTTTAAATGGTTTGAATGAAAATATGTGTAGCATGTTTATCAAACGTGTGACTAGCATTCACTGTAAATCAAGAATCGTCCGTGGTACAAGAAATTCAGCAGCAAATAAAAACAGACATGGTCCCTATCCTATCTTTAGAGCTATCAAACTAGGTAACAGAATTAAGAGCTAAAATGATCTCAGCAGGTTATAATAATGTAATTAAACTTAGTAGGGATAAATAACTAGTCCTGTATTTGGGCAAAGATTTGGCTTAGCAACAAAACCTTTGAAAGAGACTGAGGATTTCAGCTGACAACATGCTCAATATCTGTCCAACAGTGTGATTTAACTTTCCCTCCAAAAAAACTAATATGATTGAATCACTAACTACAGTGACCCTCAAAGCATGATTTCCTAAGACAGTATGTTTCAGAATCTTCTCGGAACGGGGAAAAGAGAAAGGGTACATAGTTCGAAGCCATATGTATTCTTTGGAGATCTAATAAGCTGTCTGCTTACACATAGGCAAATATCACTTAACCTCTCCCCATCCCTCTCAGTCATGGTCTAGAATGAGGAAATTTACACCTTAAATATAATGTTTTGTTTTGGTAATAAGACTGATGTATCTTAAGCATACCTGGTGTAAAAGAGGTCTTCAATAATATTTGACTGAATGAGTGAAGAATATATGCAAATTCAGAGGCCAGTGGCTGGTTGGCACAAGGACTCAAAATCAAGTCTCCTCCGAGAAAACAGAAATGTTTGCTAAGCATAGGATAATTATTTTCAAAAGGCTGAAATGCTGCTATGTGGAAGATGGTTTAGACTTACCCTGACAAATCAGATCTAAGAGACACCTTTCGGTTCAATGTAATGAAGAGTTTTCTAATGGTCAAAGCTCGTGGAAAGACGATTGAGCCATCTCATGGGGAATTGAGCTGCCCTCAGTGAATTTCAACAGCTGTGCACACCAAAAGTAATTTGTCACTAAAAATAAAATATTGTACTTTAAGAATGTATATCTGAAAAGAAATAAACTAAGGCAGAATCAAAGTTATCTCCTATGTCATTGATTACACTCCAATATACTTTCTGAGTGAAAGAGAAGAATTGGTTTACATCTCACATGTGGGGGATACTATGAGAACATGGGGTACATGTGAATGTTTTGTGGTGAATTCTTGAGCTAGAAGGTGCGGGTGTTGTAAAAAATTTCTTTTAAGATGAATTTTTGTCCTATGACTCTTATTATCTAAGCATATTTTTCTTCCTTATATAAATACTATTAACATTGTCCCCAAAGCCAAATATTTTTCTAAAGTTTAAGGGATGGTAAGAGACAGATTTTTATCTGTAACCTGAGGGTACTGCAATCTCTCTGTCTATACATTTATGTGTATATTTTACATAAACTAGACAATTATTTCTGATAAAAAATTTTTGCAAAAAAGCTCATTACAGATTTATTTTGGAAAAATGATAAAAGACATTATGGCTAAAGAACAGAATTTACAGCAAAATGTTTAAAATGGTTTTTCATTCTTTCTTGATTTGTTTGAGAGTTGGTTTGGCAAGACTGTATTGCTAAGAAATGTTCAATATTTGCTGACTTAACGAGTAACTGAATTGTTGCTAATGTTCTCCCATATTTGGGGTAGTTATAATTCTCACACCAGAGAAGAAATTAGAAGATTGTTGCCTGCCCTAGTTTGCATATTTATATACAAAGAGAAGAAGAGGTAATCATATCTCCTTTCTTCTTCAGGGAGAAACAATAAAGAAACATGAATAAATAAAATGAACTAGCTGTGTTGTCCTCAATTTCAGATTTATATAATTTCTTTTTTTTTTTTTTGAGACGGAGTTTCACTCTTGTTACCCAGGCTGGAGTGCAATGGCGCGATCTCGGCTCACCGCAACCTCCGCCTCCTGGGTTCAGGCAATTCTTCTGCCTCAACCTCCTCAATAGCTGGGATTACAGGCATGCGCCACCATGCCCAGCTAATGTTTTTTGTATTTTTAGTAGAGACGGGGTTTCACCATGTTGACCACGATGGTCTCGATCTCTTGACCTCGTGATCCACCCGCCTTGGCCTCCCAAAGTGCTGGGATTACAGGCTTGAGCCACTGCGCCCGGCCATAATTTCTTATCTCTCTTTCCTACTTATTTCTCCTGTCTCCTAAAACACAGTTTTCAGAATAAATGATACTGTTTGCATCATTTATAAATGAAGACTGACCTATATGAGAAGTGTTAAAAACTCCACTACATTTTTACGTTGGAAATTATTAACAAACATTTCTGAAAAGATAAAACCCACCAAATTTAGTTCTGTTGCTAAACATAGTTTAAGCCTGTTCAAATTCAACAGAGGTCAGAAAGGCTATTCTTCTCTTGGATATAAGCAGCCTATCCTTCTCTTGGAGAACATTACACAAGGAGATCCGAGTGAAGATGGGTTATCAGGATGTGAAGAGTGAGTGGTTGCCTGTGGCCAAAGTTGGAAGAAAGTATCTATGTTCAGAGATTTTACCTTGAAAAAATGAGTGTGGAAAGTTAGATTTTTTGGAAAAAGGATAATACTTACATTCCCTTTGCTAGAGTGTTAGTTTCTGAAGTGCTTTCTTCTACAGTCTCATACTTTTGTCAGACATAATTCTAACATCCCTAAAATTAAAAAAAATAAATTCTATATTCTATGAATATGAACGTGAACATAACTCTTACTACATGGAAATTAGTCTGTGAAAGACCTGGGAAAGAATTTAAAGAATCAAATGAAAAACTCTTTAAGAAATGAAAAGAAAAACGCCTCCAATCTGACTACCATTTAACTGCCATATAGGTATGATTTGGTCTCATCATTGTATTTGATACTAGCAACCATGTTCCTTCCTTGAGTATTTTATCATGTTGGAGTCTCTGTGTTATGATCCTCTCATTGATCCTATTTATTCTCCTTTAATGACTCATCTTTGTGAGCTCATTCAACAGATAAAGACATTCCTTAAAGTCCTGCCCTTAAAAACTCAGTTTTTGAAAAAGCAGCTATTGAATACCCTCCCTCCATGTGCCAGGGACTATATTGGGTGCTAGGGATAAAATGAATGAGAGTACATGTGGTCCTACTCTTACAGAGCTTGTACTCTGTTGGGGAGAAGATGACACTAAAGAAAATATTTCAAAAAGCATTAATTACAAATTTTGATAAGTGCTATGAAGGAAAACTACGGTACACTATTAAGAGCAATATAACAAGGGGACCTTATCGAGGCTAGGCAAGGGCTCTGAGGAACTGATATTTGAGTAGAGATCTGAATAATGTATAAATGAAAAAGTACATGGAGATGCCAGGGGCAGTGGCTCACACCTATAATCCCAGCACTTTGGGAGGCTGAGATGGGCGGATCCACCTGAGGTCAGGAGTTCAAGACCAGCCTTGCCAACACGGTGAAACGCTGTCTCTACTAAAAATAGGAAAATTAGCAGGGTGTGGCATCGAGCACCTGTAATCGCAGCTACTAGACAGGAGAATCCCGAACCTGGGAGGCGGAGGTTGCAATGAGCCGAGATTGTGCCTCTCTGCACTCCAGCCTGGGCGATGGAGCGAGACTCTGCCTGGAAAAAAAAGAAAAGTACATGCAGTATTGGGAGGGAGGATGATATATTGATGAAGGTCATCAAAATTAGAGCACAAGAAATGGAAGGAAAGAATAGTGTGGGAGGAGGCTGAAGAGACTGCTATTCACATCATGTAAGGCCGGAAGGGAAGCTCTTTGACTTCCACAGCTTCAATTCTCAGTTCCACGTGAAAGACTCCTATGACTATCTTAACTATTAGCACCAGAACTACATTTCTACACATGAATTGACTATCTACACATGAATGTTTTATGTCACCTTCAACTCAAATATCTTTCACCTGGACAACCGCAGCAATCTCCTAATTGGTTATCCAGATGCAAACCTCTGCTTTAATCAATAGAAACCAGGACGCACTAAGTTCAAACCGGAGAATAGGTACATGTGTCTATGAAGACTAACAGGACTTCAATAGTTCAGTGCAACTCAGTCTTAGCACCTAAGATCTCCATTTGATGAGTATTGCTTTAAGTACCATGTAAAAAACTCCTTCCAAATGCTTAAATATCAAGTTCCATAGATACTGAAAATTGTGTAAGTTAAAAATGAATCACTACAATCATACATTAAAATACATGACAGCATTGTTTTAGAAAGTGCACAATTTATTTATGTTTATGAGTTTATAATAAAGTGGATACTTAGGGACTTTAAAAATGAGTTAGGAGTTACAATTAGATGTAAAATTTTCAAATCTTGAAAACTAAAATATTAAGTTCTAGAATTTTCTTAAAAACTCTTTCTTATGAAAGAGAAATTTGCATAGTTTGAAAATTATTATGTCCTTTCAGGGGAAAAAGGAGGAATTAAAAAACAGACACGTTGATGAAGGCAATGAGTTCTTCTCAGCTGGTTTATTCTCCACTGAAGATCAATATAGGATTATATTTTCTTTACTTACAGGAAGTGGTCACTGCTCTGTTTTCCCATAACCCTCAAAACAGAACAACAATGCTTATGCAAAACAACACAAGCCTTCACTATACTCTGCAGGCTTTACCATTTCAATACACTTCTAGTCCAAGTGCTTTCCCAACTCTAGAGTTCTGTGAGTTAACTATGAATATTTTTAAATATTTTCCAGATTCATCAGGGAGGCTGCTTTTCTTCTCTGCACTGTAATCACACTGAGCTGCAATTAAAATAAACAATCAGTAAGTAGTTACTTTTTCTGTGTAAAATCTTAGACTAATACAAAGTAGAATGCATCACAACCTGTAAGTATTGAAAATGATGTTACTGGAAAGGGTTTTGTAAATGATCTTTTTCTTTTTGAGGCAGTCTCCGTCTGTTGCCCTGGCTGGAGTACAGTGGTACAATTTCAGCTGACTGCAGCCTTGACTTCCCAGGATCAAGTGATCCTCCTACTCCAGCCTCTTGAGTAGCTAGGACCACAGGTCTGCATTGCTATGCCTGGTTAATGTTTATCTTTAATTTTTTTCAGAGACAGGGTCTCACTATGTTGCCCACGCCAGCCTTGAACTCCTGGGGTCAAGCAATCCACTCGCCTTGGTCTCAAAGTGCTGGGATTATAGGTGTAAGCCCCTGTGCTGGCCAGTGATCATGTTAAAATTAATTTCTATTTTACACTTGAAACTTTAAAATGTCTATCACATTACAAAAATGTAGGCCAAATAAGATATTCTATAGCTCAGAGTGATATACTTAGAATATTAAAACACATTCCAGATGGATGTAAAATATCTAGATAAAAGTCAATCAGAAAAGTTTCTAAAACACAAACTAATGTGAGCCAACACAATGCAAGGCTGGTAATAAAGTGATGACAGATAATAATAAGTCTAATAGAACAATAATCTTTAAATGTTAGTAAGAATTTATAATATATACACACGGTTAAAAAAAAGATCTAACAGTACAAAATGGTAGAGAGCATAAAGTAAGTCTCATTCCCACCGCTATCTTTCATTCCATAGACCTCTCTGCAGATACGACCACTACTTCCATTTTTTTTTTTTTTTTTTTTTTGAGACAGAGTTTCACTCTT